GCACTCATAGCACTCAATTTTTCTGATTCGGTAGTTTGATCTATGCTATGATTTATCATTCATGGACGTTGATAAGATCCTTCCATCTAGCAGCACCTTAGGATGGCATAGCCTTCAAGTTAAGGGCGAGGAAAAAAGAGGTGGCCAAGTAAACAATCCCATCTTCCAACAGTAGCTGCTAGTTCTCGACTCCGCTATGACTCTTATTGAATCAACTCCCGATGCCGGAACCGGTGCTCTGATCAGACAGGATCTGCCGTTGATGCCAGATCCAGAGCCGCTTTTTTCCAGGTGTTATAAGGTTCCTTGTGCTGGAAAGGATAGATCTTATGGACAAGTCTAATCCTATTCCAAAACCAACAACCTTGGGCCTTCAGCCCCAGCTCGCACTCGACATGACATGATCTTTGACAATCATGAGTCAGGAGGGTCAGCCCAGAAAGAGACTAGCCGGCCTTGGGTCTCCGGCTCTTAGAAAGAAGCTAAATCCATCTGCCTTCTACCACGAGTGCGCCCTCACTACACTACACTAATAAGAAAGGAAAGACATATCAACACAGATAGAACGGGCGCGGAGAATGGAAGATTCACCCATAAACAAAAGAGGAACCTGTAGCTACCAGACCCGTTTTCGACCTCTTTGCCTACCTCTTGCCTTACTCATAATCGGGAATCTGAACAGGCAACTATGAGACTAATTTCCCATTGTCCCGAGCAAGTTACAGCGTACCTGAAGTGTGTTGGTCTTTCGTGAACACTCATGGGTGAAACCCTAGCTCTGGTTCAGACATGTGATTGATATTATATATAATCGTTTTTTTTAGCGGTCATTCTGAGAAGTTAGTTTGAGAACGATCGAGACCCTCGCGGGCATCCTTCACCACTGGACTTGTTCAAACCTTGGTCTATGGCAGCGGCGGTAGGAGTCGCAGAACTTGCAAAACTAGATACTCCTCGTCGAATAGAGGTCTCGTATGTTGGTACATAAGGGTTAGGAGAAGCAGTCGGTACACGGTACATTCAATCAAGTCCGTTGCTGTTGCCAACTCCTTCTGCTTTCCCCCTTAAAAGGCTCAAATACCAGATATCAAGATCCAAGGCATACCAGATTCCCGAAGGGAAGGAAAAAGAATGCCCTCTTTGATAGAAGGAGCTATTAGGGGAATATCAGATCTTTTAGTCCACTCTTTGAGACATCTATTAGACCGTGGGGCATGAACACGAAGAGGAGACTTTTCTTTCCTATCATTAGCGTTGTGAAAGGAAAATATGGTACTTCTATAGCTTTCACGTGGCGAGAGGGAGAAAGAAATAGCAAGAACCACTCTTTATCTTTGAACGAATCCGAAGTCCGGGAAGGCAAGTGGTAATACGCAAATAGAGTACATCAAGCCTGAAAGACCCTATACTTGTACAGGGCTAGAGACTAGAGGTTCCCCAGGTAATCAATCTATGTTAAACCTCCGGAGAAGAACTAAGATTGGCATTGGCTGAAATGGAGCTTGCCCCAGGTACGAAATGCCAGCAAGGTAAGGACATAGGTCTGTACCCGACTCCTCTGAGACTTAGACGGATAGACTCGTTAGATACGTTATTTTATTAATGGTATAAAAGGTGGGCCCGAACGGTATAGCCCCGCAGGGAAGACCCTAAGGAGATGATTGAAGAAAGATCAGAAGAGGACCCAGAGGGATGAAGAGATGAAAGTCACAGTAAACCCGAAAGACTTTATCTCGAATAGATTAAAGGCTCTTCTTGCTCAACTAGCCCAGAAGGTACCGATTCTAGAAGTTGCTGGAGAGCCAGAGGTTACCTGCCAGGTGACCATACAGTCAAAGCCCGGGGAGCCAAAAAAGGTCGTGTTAGACAAAGCCTCTCCCCAGATGACCCAAGACATCAAGCCTCTGTACGTCAAAGCTCACTTGAACGGGAAGCCCGTATCACGGATATTGGTAGATAACGGATCCGCAGTCAATGTGTTGTCGCTGAAAATGATATGGAGTTTTTGAAAATCTTTAGGAGGACCTGATGTCAATGGAGGTTTCAGTTGTGGCCTTTACTGGGGGAACCCTTCCTTGCTTTCTTATATTGTATTCGCTTCAATCGCTCCTGAATCGGTGGATCAAAGATCGGAATACCTGACTTTCACTGCTAGAGGTGGATTGGATGAGAGGCCGCTATTTGCTTGCTTCTCCTGTTTGCTCTAGTTCACCTGGTTTACAACGGTCTGTTTGCTAGGTTTTAGACAAGGTCTAAGGGCGAGTCATCCCTCTTAGCAGCTCTTTCCTAATCAATCAGCTTTTGTGCTCTCCCAAAACAGCGGAAAGACTTTAAATAATTCCACCAACAACTTTTCTCGTGAAAGGGAATACTTTTTAATAAGACTTTCTTTCTCTTGCACCACGCCGGAACGTATGGACACTGCCTAAAGTGAAGTAAGATGGAATCGGGGTGGCTAGCTTTCCTGCTTCTGTGCTTGTTATTAAGAAGATAGAAAAGATATAGATATCTCCCGTAGGCTACTCTTTAGAGCGTTTCACTCGTTTAAGGAAGACTCATACAGCCTAAGACAACTGGGTTTACGAACAGGGGTTATTCCCATATATATATGGATGGATGTTACTTTTGTGCTTAATTTAGTTTTGCGTATCAGTTAAGTTTCAGGTCTGTGCCTGAGGCCTGGACCGGAAAGCTTTAATGGCGGGGGCAGAAACGAAAGCAGGTACGAATAGAAGAAGGCCCAGAATAGCCAAGCCAAAAGGGTCCTATTAAGTGGTCCAATCATTGTGGGTATAATGGTAGATGCTCGGGACCAAGCCCTCAATTTTATACTTTGGAAAACTTCTAATAGTAAACTTAAACTATCAA